GTGTGACTCACAGCTTGAAGCTTCTATATGCCACATAGGGCGATAAATGTCTTACTAAAAATGGTAACTGTTCCCTCAAACACCACTGGCTGCTGTTGCTATTTCTGACTTATTTTCTCCCACCACAAATATTTTTGAACTAAATGCAGTAAGGGCATGCTTAGTTTCTGTACTACAATGCTGAGGCTGGAACGTCAATTTTGGGGTACTGCATTAAAGTGTACTGTTAACGTCTGCCTCCTCTTTCTGCTTGCAGTACCTGCACCCCTTCCTGTGGACCCAAGCAGGGAGTGTGTTGACCAACCGCATCTTGCCAACTGTGAGCTGATATTACAGGCGCAGCTCTGCAATAATGAATATTACTCCAGCTTCTGCTGTGCCAGCTGCTCTCGTTATCAACCCAGGGATCCTCCTCACCAACGTCGCTGACCCTTTCCCCTCCCAAAGAGGGACAGTGCTTGCAGCAGTGATTGGAAGAAGCAATCTCAGATCTGCATTCTCAAATACACATGGGGAGGCCAGCACAGGCTGCTATTAGCAGAACAGTCGGCAGTAACGGAACACTCACCTCCCCAAGCTTTTTTGCAGTAAGCATACCCAGCTTTTCCCCCCGAATGCTGGCTGATCTGCTCATCAATGAAACCAAACAACAAGGGATTGTTTCTCTAACAAAGACTAACAAGCAATATGGACAAGAGTCAAGAGCAAGAAAGAAAGTTGCTTTTAAGACAGACTATGAAAGTGTTTGAACAAACAACAGCCACTACTCAAGTTTAAAAGTAGATTAAGGAAAACCACTGAACCAGACCCTTTGTGGAAGAGCAAACAACTGACCGTGTTTCTGGGGAAACTTGGCAGCTGATCTAGACTTTCTGCCATCATTTCAAATATTCTATAACCTTTGCTCTTCCATGCTTTTCAGTTTTCAAAAGATACAAGTAGATAAAGTGGATGTGCTTAACAGCAGCTACCCAGAACTACTGATTGAGGGATTTTGGCACTGTGAAGAGAACTTGCTGGGAGCTTCAAGGGATTTGGATGTTGGTGAAAAGAAACAAACTCCAAGAAGACTGGTCTGGGTCCTGAATCAGACGGCCTTAAGACAAGCATGTCACCTAAAGAAAATAAGGTCTATTTTGCACATTTTAGGATTCTTCCTGTATGGGAATATATAGGGTAGTTCTGTGTATGGGTTTTAGACTGTTAACTGATGGAAATCTTGACTGGCCGGGGTTTGACTCTGCATGTTTATCCTCAGGTTTATCACATTCAGAAGTGGGCTTCAAAGTTAGTCTGTACTAACTAAAGAACATTCTGGCTGGTTAAGGGTGTTTGTGTGTGTGCTCTAATCTTGAAGAACTGAAGACAATTTACAGTCCCTCTAACACCAGGTAACTAATTTTATTGCTAAGCCAAACACTGCAGTTTGAACCTGGAAAAAGAAAGCCATGGTCCAACTGAGTAGAAAGTGTGAGTAAGAAGCAGCTCATTTTACCAACTGAATATAGTATCTTATAAACCTTGTACTGTGCAAGTAGCTTTCCTTTCCACAGCAAAGCTTCACTTGTGTACTCTTTCTACTTAAGATTGCTGCCATGGGTTAAGAACATAAGAAGAGCCCTGCTGGATCAGACCAATGGTCCATCTAGTCCAGCATCTTGTCTCACACAGTGGCCAACCAGTTCCTCTGGGCAGCCAACAAGGCTTAAAGGCCTTCCCCTGATGTGGCCCTCCTGGCTCTGGGATTCAAAGGATTAATGCTTCTGAATGTGGAGGTTTCCCTTAGTCACTGTGGCTAGTAGCCATTGATAGACTTATCCTGCATGAATCCACGTTTATTCAAGTGGCCATCACTACATCCTCTGGTAGCGAATTCCACATTTTAATCACTCTCTGCGTAAAGCAGTACTTCCTTTTTGTCCATCTTGAGCCTAACTGCCCATCAGCTTCATTGGATGCCCTCAAGTTCTAGTATTTTGGGAGAGGAAGAAAAACTTCTCTTTGTCAATTCTCTTCACCCTCTATCATGTCCCCCCTTAGCCATCTCTTTCCTAAACTGAAAAGTCCCAGACTCTTCAGCCTTTCCTCATAGGGAAGGTGCTCTAACCCCTCTAATCATTTTGGTTGTCCTCCTCTGTACTTTTTCCAGCTCTGGAATGTCTGTTTTAAAATACGGTGACCAGAACTGTACACAGTATTCCAAATGAGGCCGCACCATACATCTATACAAGGGCATTACCATATTGGCTGTTTTATTCTCAATCTCTTTTCTAATACCACCTAACATAGAGTTTGCCCTGTTCACCTCTGAAGCACATTGGGTTGACTTTCATTGAGTTATCCACTACGACCCCAAGATCTTTTTCCCTCTCAGTCTCAGCAAGTTCAGACCCCATTAGCCTAGTCCAGAGCCTCTTACATTTTATTATAGTCTGTAAACCCAAACAGAGGCCTGTAACATAACATTCTACGTGGCAATCTGTAGTCCAATGCAGTGGGGAAAGGGAAGACTTACTAATTTGTTCATGTTTCAAGACTCTCAGAGGCTTTTGGGAAAAGCATTTAAGCGGGAACATGCAAGAACCATCAGATTGAAGAGATTCTTTAATGCTCCAGGTCCTAACCCAAGAGGAAGTCACAAGTAGCAGACAAATGCCTCATTTTCTTTTGTTTCTGCAGGGCAATTGATTTTAAAAAGCATGGGATCAACAAAGTGTTTTCCTGTTCACGTGTTTCACTTTTTCAGAAAGAGGCCACCCTCTTCCTGTTTTCATTAGGGTCTTAAGAATCCTGTATATCAGGCATGTCCAACTTCGAACAGGCAGTGATCTATTTTTTCCGGCCAAAAGTGCCGGTGATCTACCATCATGAAAATAAAGTATTAAAGATCAATGGGAACTGAAGACCTCTGGATGATGCCGAAACCACACATGCAGTTCTAAAAGTAAAAATAAGAATTCATCATACTAGCACCAATAATCAAATATCACCAAACAATCTTAAAAAAACTCCAAACACCTGTCCAGGAGACCAAGTGGGGCAAACCAGGAGACCAAGTGGGGCTGGTGATCTACCTCTGACCCCTCTGCGATCTACTGGTAGATTGTGATATACCTGCTGTATATCACATGCCTAACGACAGTGTAGCATAGAAGCAAAAAGATCAACCTATGAATCAGGAAGTCCCAGGTTAGAGTCTTGTGCGTGTCACAAAGAAAATGGTAAGTGATCTCTGATGATTGACTTTTTCTCAGGCACCCTCCCCATCTGAAAAATAGGGATACTTCTCTACTTACAGAGTTACTTCACAGGCATTCTTAACTGCTATACAAACTGTATTAACCACTGATCAATTGCAATCATAAATGTGTAGTAGGTTGCCGCTATGCCCACATCACAGTATGTAGCAGCATGCTCTCTTTAGACTCTCGCATGTATCTAAAAATTGTAGTGTGGAAAATATATACAACTACTCACAAAAATGAATGGTCAAGTGAGCCTTCCCAGATTACCTTGTATGTGAGACACGTGCACACGCACTTAGCCCATCTGTTCCATGTTCTTACTCAAGGAAGCAGTTTACAGAAGCATGCATGTAACTGAAACGACATTCAGATATGTTGGAAAGAGAAATTGTACAGTTATCAGTCTACCATACTAAACAGCAATTGCTTCACTAAGAAGTGTCACTTGTCTCACCAAGTGGCCTTGGACTAAAGTAAAGGTATCTGGGGCTGCTTCATTGGATGCCAGAAAGACTGAAATTAGCCATATCTGATGCTACATACAAAGAAATTATACACTAATTGCAGCTAAGATATGCTCTTTGATTTTGAAACATCATCGCTTAAGGCAAAAATTATTAAGATGTCTGTACTATAGGTCTCAGGGTTATGTATAGTTAACTACTGGCCAAAAACCAACTAATAAAAACATCATAATTTGTGTCCAGCCTTTGTTCACTGCATCATTTGATTACCCAGTTGCAGTTTTGTCACATTATTAAGGGGAACATTTAGTCAGTTCCCCCCACAAAAAGGAAAAAAATATCTAGAATATACAACAGTCACCTCAGCCACTTCTTACAATATGAGTTCTCAGGCTTGACAGTTGGTAGTGTGCATATATACCTGTGTATACACACTCACACCGCATCTGACACTCAGAGCATTTGCTGTCAGTAACCAATAAAAAAGCCAACATGTCCAGCGTGGGCTTTGCTAATTCAAAGTATAGAAAGAAGGAAAGCTGCTCAGAGAGCCACATCATGTACTACCAACATTTATTTCTGTTAAAGCAGATTATAAATCATCAGTACAAATATATATAACTTACATTTGCTTGTAAGGCCAAGTTTTAAAAGTAAAGTTAAAAATGAGATGGCGTTCATGATTTGTCAGAGGAAGAACACGGAATAGCCGTAGTCTAGCCACAAGCCTTCACATAGAACAGTGGGGAAATAAGCTTTCTTTTCTTTTTAAAAAATTAAAATCTATTGAACATACATGAAATGGGTTCCTCAGTAGACCTGATTGTAGATATGGTTACAGTAAACTGTCACAATACAAGAAGAACAATGAAATTGCAGCAGTACATGGAAGAACCTATATGTAGTCTAGTATTACCTAGCTTGATTCCTTAAAAAAAAAGGATAGAATTTACCAATTGTTTTCAAACCAAGACAATACTGCTCTTAAACTACTCTATAATGTGTGTTTTTATTGGTCATGATTGTAGTTGCAATATGCTACTTACAATGAACACAGAAGAACAAGCTAGGAAGTCTCCTCCCGAACCTACTCCCATATTACTGATTGTAAGAATCAGTGATAAATCAATCTTATTTACAATTTTACATCCAACCACCTTTTATACCTTTGGCAAAATTACTTACAACTCATTCAACTTTTAATATCTAGAGCTATTTAAAATAATCTAAAATGCATAAAAATAAAGATTTTGGCTTTATTTTGTTTTTATATATAATCGTCATTGTGTTACTCAAAATGGAAGCTCATTCTTTTCCACAGACAGTCTATGCAGAGCAGCTTTCAGGTTTCCCCCTCTCACATGTTCACAACTCCTCTTTCCTCCAGAGAATGGGACATGCACAGCAAGTGAGACCCCTTACACAATAGTGGCATTCGCTTTTCATTGTAGAAGGTCATCCAAAGTTCTTGTGGGAAAAGGGCTTCAGGACTCAGTTCCCATCTTCAGCCCTTCGAGGTTTCCTCTGCAGTCCAGGCTCCCAAGCAGGGAGGAAGGCAGTAAGGGTACATTTCCTGGATTATTCCCCAACAGTGATGTGGCTGGAGCTTGGGGCCTCTCCCCCATGACTGTTCCCCCCCCCTCTCTACCCAACTGTGATTCTGTGGGAACCTCAGTGATCAAGTGTGCTGTTTGGATGTCCCCTCTGCCCCTTGCCCTCTTCCTCCCAACCCCCACCACGCACCCACCCTCACACAGACACACACAGAGACTAAAGCACAAACCACAGGACTGCTTAAAGTTCAATTTCAAAAGTCTTCTGTAATTCACTTGAGAAAGGGTTAGTTGGAGAGGGGTTGGTACGCTGCTTCGACTTGCTTTCCAGTGCTGCCCACTGTGCTTCAAATGGATCGACCTTCTGTGCAACAGCAGGGGGCTGTATATGCTTGTCCTCCGTGGGCCACCTGGCAGTGTCTACACCATTGAAAGCAGCCGAGCCATTTTGCTGCTGGGCAGGAGGTTTAAAGAAAGGGCTAGTCGTAGCACTGTTAGTTTCATATTGAGGGAATGTCTGCTGCTTTATAAGACTGGGTGACTGATGAGAGTGGGACACTTGAGGATGGCTTGCTGTGCCAAACACATTGGCTACCATTTGGGAAGGAGTTATCCCAACCACTGGTACACTGGGAGCCGAGTAGGGCATTCCGTTCGCTATGGCATATGGCTGAGCAGGGATAAACGCAGGCTGCATTGGCTGCACCACTCCGACGGGCACCGGCTGAGGAGCAATGTAGGAGCTGACTGGGAAAGCTGGTGCTGCCTGAGAGACTGCCACAGGAGGCTGAAGGAGTGGCTGGGGAGCTGGCTGTTGTGGCTGCGGCTGCTGTGCTCGGACAGTTTTGGATACTTCTTCCAGCCAGCGGTCTGCCTCGGAGGGAGTGCGTTTGTGGTTTGCTTGGAACAAATTTGGTGAGGCTGCCCCAGAATTGGAACTCCATTCAGTACCTACAAAGGAAAACGTTGTTAAGGCAACATCTCACCCAAGTACATTTTTCACCCTTTTCTTACTCCTGATGTTTGGAAAGGCAACCGAGGGAGTACTACCTTGATGCAACTTCAGCTTCCAACCACCTCACGATATTCACAGATCTCTAAATTCAGATTTGTATCAGCAGCTGGGCAAACATTGCACCCACTGAAATTAATATGGAAGACTACTTTAATTGAACTACTACAAGTACAAACTGAGGTTGTCCGTGCATGGCTACAGACAACTATGTTATTGGGCATAACATAGATTTCAGTTACTTAAATAAGAACCACCATGGATATCAAAACAGAATGGCAGGATGTATGAAGACTGGATGTTAAGGGAAAAGCTATTAAGGGGCTCTTGCTCTCCTTTTCACCCCATCTAGAGCTTCTAGACTGGCTCCTCCTTATTCTTAAGCTCAGAAAGGAGAATGCTACTTATAACTGGGCCACCACACTGTACTATGGTCAAGGTTGGCAGATGTATGTGCTGTCCAGTTTTGAAAGAGGAACACACACAATGCTTGCCCAGTTATCAGATCAGAGGTTATAAGACTACAGATACAAGATGGTTGCACTTTCTTCCATATATATGAACTCCACTACCCCAACTCACATTTTGCAAAATCCATACATATAACTTGAAACTGTACTTACTGGCAACTTGTTGCTTTCCTTCTCTCCCTTCCTTCACTTCTACTCCTCCCTTATTCTTTTTTATGCAATGCAGTGTGTTAACCTCTCTCTAATTGCTCTGTAATATTCAACACTTAAAATTTCAGTTTCTTTGAACTACTTTTGATTTCAACACTATAATGTCTTTCTGGATTCTGCTTCATTCCCATCCATACACTTCACCTCCTCCCCTAACCTAACTTACCAAGTCTGATGCTTAGTACTGGAAAGAGCATATATTACTATCCCATTTCCTCACCATCCCATAAACTTAAGTAAAGGCTTGCAACTTAACCTTAAGGCTACTGGTTCCCATTTACAACTAAAAGGAAGCCACAGTTCAGTGGCAGAGTACATACACTACATCTACAAGGCCACGACTGCTGCACCTGTTGTCTGGGTACAGTATTTCAGGCAGAATCTAACTTTGGTTTTCTGAAAGGTCATACAATTATTTTTAAGAGTCAAAAGGAACTATTGCTACAGAAGCAATACTGACATTACAATAAATTATTTCCCAAGCCCTAAAATTTTCTCTTTAAACTGAGCTAAAACAGAAGTCAAATTTCATTCAGTAATTTTGGATAAAGCTCACTTTCCCCATAAAACTAAAACTCTTCTTCTAAGAAAGTATGTTTTTGATCATGGATCCACTGGTGGGCCTCCACAGACAGAAGTGGGGGCCAATTTTCATCCATTTCTCCCTCCCATTGCTCTCCTCTGAGTCATACCTCATGCTGTTCCTGGGGGACTGGGATTCCAGTATGGGGGGGGGGGGTAGTGAGTCACACTCCACTGAAAATTCCTGGTGGATCCAAGCCATGAACAAATAACCTAAAAAATTGATCTGCTATATTTGATAAGGCCAATCTAGCCCAGCACCACACATTTAACCCCTCTAAATGCCACACACAGGATTTGTACCCAGTCTTACCAGAAAGAGTGGCTGCGGCTCCAGTTTTAGTAGCAGCTGGAGCAACAGGGGCATGAGCCCAGGGATTGGTTTCACGAACTGGTATTGCTGTGGGTGCTACAGTAGTTTGAACTGGTTTAGCAGCAAGCACATTGAAGGCAGAGGCAGTGCCATTAACTAAAATGGGAGCAGACAACATCAAGGCTGTTAATTCATGCAAGGCATGCAGACGACTGGGACATTAAAATGAATGTGTGATTTCTGCCAACATGCAACACACAATAACTTAAGTCATTCTTTCACACTGTTAATCTACAGGCTTTTTCTATAATGACTTTCTGCCGAGAAGTTAAACTTTCTGCTAGCTCTGTAGTAAGACAACAGGGTGATTTTTCACAGATATTGTAAGCAGAAAGCTAATAAGGTGGAATCCATGTTTTAGATGTAAATTGCAGCTGGATCACATTTCCCTTTTCTGTCCAAGAAAGCTGTACTATTTTCAGCATACTGAAAATTCAAAGCCAACAATTATGTAGCGATCATGTGCTGCAGATGAAAATATCCACACAGTCAAAGCAAAAGGGTAAGGGCAAAGCATACATGCTTTGTTTTGGGACATCAAGGGAGAAAGCTTGAATATAGGAGTACTATATCATCTTTGACTCAGGGTCACAGCCAGAAATAATTCAGTTGAGGGAGCACAAAGGTACACTTTGAGGGGCTTATCATAAGTCAACCTGAAAAGACAGAAATCTAAATATAATTCCAATATGTTCACAGACATTTGACTTTTTAAATTGATTTGGATTTTAGATGCGTAAGTAGGCCCTAAATTCTAGAATGACCACTAACCTATATTTCATTCACAACAACGAAGTTGCACCTGTTCAGTGCAGCATTATCTGATTAAAGTTCTGCATTTCAGACGCCTATAACTTAATTAGTGGCAGTATTAATGATCTTTCATCCAGTGACTAGGGATGGGCATGAACCAGGAAAATGGAGGTTAGAAGAGAAGGAGAGATTGGATTTATACCCCGCCCTTCACTACCCAAAGGTTAGTGGTTTATGGGTCTCACGAACCACAGTTCATGAACCTCCACAAACTTTTCCATTTCCCGAACTGGTTCGGGTTTGTGGGGTGCATTTTAAATTTTTAATGCCCCAGGTGTGCCGCAATGGTGGTACGCTTCCAGTAGGTACGACTCCAGAAAGGGAAGGGGGCATTTTTAAATGCTTTCCCCTCCCTCCCCGAGTTGTGCCGCAATAGCGGCACACTTCCAGGAGTGAAGGGAAGGCAATTTGCCTTCCAAGGCAGAGCAAGGCAGAGCAACTCCAGAGATGGCCATGAACCGCTACACTTCCAGGAGTGAAGGGAAGGCAATTTGCCTTCCTTTTATTTGTGAAGGGAGTGCTACCAAGGCAGAGCAACTCCAGAGTTGGCCATGAACTGCTGCAAAAACCATGGCAGGTGCAAAAACCACAAACCAGCCTGGTTCGTGATGAAACCTGGTTCATAATTCAGTTCATGCCCATCCCTACCAGTGACATAGTGGGAAACAGGCTGAAATGACTATGTATATGTAGAAATATGTGATCCTGAATTTGAATTCTTGTACAGTTAGAACACTTGGAAATAGCTCTCTTCTGTTTTTGGTTTGCTTATAATCATACCACAAGCTTTTCACTGGTTTAGCTCATGTACATTCTTGACTCTTAAACAATACAGTAGTGCGTAGTGCTGTGGGGTAGGATTCAGAACTGTGCTGATGAAAGTGGTAGTGAGGAAGCTATTAATAACCAGATCTTTAATTACTATACTGAGAGATTCTCAAGTTAAATTGCTACCGAATCATCCCCTTCAACCTTGGCCCCTGCCACACAGGGGGAAATTGAGGCGGGCAAAGTGCGGCTTTCGAAAGCCACACCAAAAGAGACACGTGGTGGCAGGATCACACAGATCCCGTGAGCCGCCGCGCAGTTGCTCCCCGGCACGATCAGATGCCATGGAGAAAGCCACGGAAGGGAGCGCAAGGCCGCCGGCTGCGCATGTGTGCACATGCGCAGTTCGGCTGGGAGCCTCGATTGCTCCGGAAGACGGGCGCTCCAGCGAACCGACGGCCGCCCTTGATGCAGTGTTTCCGGTAAGTCCTGCTCTGTAGGTGGGGGTTTTTTACAGTGGATTTTCGGCCTGAAGGGCCGGATCGGGGTCGGGTGAGCACTGCTTCCCAGATGTTGCGGTGAGATTGCGCCCCCGATCCGTCCCTCTCCCGGGCCAAAACCTTCCGTGTGACCGGGGCCCTTGATCCCCTAATATCAAAAAGGTGGTTACTGTGTAAGGAACTAAGGACACTGTCAAACAGCCAGAGTACTCTCTTCACGCTCTTTAATGGCTTGGGATTCAGAGCAGTGCTTATCCTTGGCTCAAAGTTATTATCTCATCAGTGACCTTATTATTCTGTAGTGAGAAGTGGTGATGCTTGACTTAGCCCTTTGGCTCTCCGCAGTGAAGCATTTCTATACCGAGAGATGCTGGGGTCGAAGTCTGTATTATGCATCTTCAGTTCTTAACCCTAGTCTCATATTTAAGGGGAAAGTGGGAACAGGGATTTGACAACAGTTATTTACTGATGAGTAAAAGGTATTCTGCATATGCTCAGAGTAATAAAATGTGGGAGCAGTATTTTGCTTATTAATGTATGACATTTGTGGCCTTTTACTGTGCTTCCTTTTATGTAATTAATGTGTAGTTGAATAGTTTGTGTAGGGTCTTCTGTTTGTCATTTTCTCAGATGTTACCTTCCTGCAAACTATAAATGAGAAATACGGAATGACTTCAATGCAAACAAAAGGGCTGCAAGACACTTTGAGACATAAAAGCCATCACATCACAAAGAAAGCAGCACTACATACATAGCAAGCACCACAACTGCTCAAGTGGAGAGAGGACATACCTTGAACAGCTGGAGACTGTGGTGCAACAGCGGTGACTGGTTTTGTCATGGGGGCAGAGGAGAAAGGGTCCTCGGATGGTGCGCTGAACGCATTTGTAATCTGGGAGCAGAGGGAACTAATGCTATCTGCTTCTCCTTCGGCTTCAGGAACTGGAAAAAACCCACAAATTACGCAGATATGGAGAAAAAGGAGGACTTCAAGTCCCCACACTTCCCCCTCCCCCACTGCACTGTGAATACTTATGCAAGACTGTATTTTCCTTCCACAAATCCACGGTGAAGATCAAGCAAAGAGAGAGCTCTAGAGAACTCTAGAAAATAGGACTCAAAAACTGGCTGACAGCTCAGAAATTTTATCCCACTGCCCCCTCCAGCACATTTTAAGACCAACTGTGCAAACTTCACAATTTCCATATACAATAAAAGATATTGATTTAAGACAAGAAAGTCAAGGGAAAGATGCTGTCTCTCTCTGAACATGCTTCAAGCTGTTCAAACTGCAGAACAATTTATTATAGTTAACATAGCTTTTACAGCTAGGTATAAATAATATGCCAAAGCACCATACAGAGTAAACACAAAAAGGGAGTCCTGCAGCACCTTCGTTGATCGTAGCATAAGCTTTTATGGGCTGGAGCCCTCTTCAGCAGAGGCTCTGAACAACAGCTTTTATGCTAATCAATCTGTAAATCTAAGGTGTCATGATATCCTGTTCTTTTGTTCCAGCAGATTAACAAGTCTGTCTCTATAGATTATAAAGAATAAACCTGAGAGCAGAGGTAAGTAAAACAAGGGTGCAGAGGCAGGAAAATCAGGGCCTTAATTGCACCACAACAGGGATGGGTGGAGACTGGAACACTGGGCTTACTGTGAAGGTTCCTTTTACCCAAAGGAGAGAACAGTCTTGACAATTGGGTACTCTTCCTACCCACAGTCCCTGGAGAAAAGAAGTCTACTGCTGCATCAGTCTCCAATGGGGAGGGAGTGTCCACTATCCTCAGTATTAAGACTTCTGTAGTTAGTGTAACTTGGGTTGCCAGCTTTGGGTTGGGAAATACCTGGATATTTTGGGAGTGGAGCCTGGGGAGGACAGTGTTTGAAATGCAGATTCTGTGGCATTATACTTTTACATGGTATAATGCCACAGAATCTGCATTTCAAAGTAGCCATTTTCTCCAGGGGAACTGATCTTGATCATCTGGAGAACAACTGTAAAAATGGGAGATCTCCAGGTGCTACCTAGAGGTTGGCAACCTTAAGTGTGTAACCCATCACAGAGTGTGCCTTATCAAAAACAAACTGTGCCTCTGTAGCAGAAGGTACTCACAAATAGATCATAGTGTACATGCAAGTAACAGAAGGCACAAAAGATAGTCTCAAACAGCAAAACCAAATTATAAATTGGAACAACACGTGAGAAACCTGGACTGGCACTGATCTCCCTTCCCCAGAAGTCCAAATTCTTTGAAGAAGCCCCCCCCCCCAAGACAGGGTGGGTCCAGAGCATCCTCTTTTTCTTCAATCAAAGGAAATCTTCACAGTAAGTCCACTGTTCCATTTTCACTTGAAGAGAGGAGGACACTGACTGGGATATTACCAAGCAATACTCCCAAGATTATTGGAGGGAAGAAGAATGCCAGCCAGTCAGAAAGGTAGAGGAATCAGACCAGTTGCTGAAGAGCCAGTTGTCCAAATGCTACATCAGCCAAAGCACTGGAATCTATTTTATAATGTCTGATGAACATGGAAGCCAATGTCCATGTAGGAGCTTTACAGATATCTGACACCAGAGCATTGGCACTGAAAGCTGCAGAGGTGGCTGCATTTCTGACTTAGTGAAATATGATGCCTACTGGCATCTGTAAACCTTGAGGGGAGTATGCCAGAACTATACACTCTGTAATCCATCTGTTTAGGGTTGTCTTAGACACTCCCCCCCCAATCTCCAGGTACCAGATGGTAAGCCACAAATATGCTGATTTTCTGAAAGGGGCAGTGTACTGATGCAGATACACAATGCTTGTCTACTGAATGCCAGTTCTTTTCCTCCAGGTGAGAAGGTTTAGGGCAGAAAGATAGTAGGTTGATCTCTTGTGAGCAATGGAAGACTGAACTGACTTTTGGCATAAAGATAGGATCAGTACGAAGAATCACACTGTACCTTGTGAAAAAGCACAGAATTCTTGGCTATGGAGAGTGCTCCCAATTCTGACACTCTTTTGGCTCAAGTTACTGATATTAGTTGAAAGCACCTTAAGAGTAAGGAACTTTGTTGAAACCTCCCTCAGGGGCTGTCATGACCCCAGGGGGTCGCCACTTTCCGCCACCATCACTCTGGACTTCGGGTCCCTTGAGAAGGCCCAGGGTACCCACCCAGGCCCCTTCAAATTGCCCCTTTGTAGCCGAGCAACGTAAGCATGATGACCAAGGCAGAGAACAATTAAACAGAAAGGGTTTATTATCGCAGTACTGGGGCAAGGAAAACAAGACAAGGTGCTTTAAAAGATAGAGCAGTGTTTAAAAGGCAAAATAAACAGAATCTAACGCAGCTACCTATTACTCCTTAACTGGTTACCACTTCCAGGCCCACAGAAGCCACCTGTTTAGACAATTCTTCATCAATTAGATTTTTACATTCAATTTTCATGTGGTAAGATTGAGCCACTCAGGATTCAAATGAACGTTCAGACCTTGGGTCAGCATGTCCCAAGAAACAGGCAGTCTCCATGGAAGTTGCATTGATGCAGGCTGCAGACTTGAACACTAGGGTCTGCAAGGCCAAGACGGGGCTACACAAATTAGCACTGCCTTTCCCCAGCTGGGCTTGTTCGTGACTTCTGGAATCAAAGGAACAGGAAGAAAGACGCAGAGAAGTCCTGACAGCCCTGATGCTATGAGGGCATCACTCCCACTGTCTGAAAACACAGGTACCTGGTGAAGAATCCCAGGAGTTTGGTGTTCTGGGGAGCAGTGAAGTGGTCCACGAAGGGTTGACCAAATCATGGAATCAAACTGAGCTGCTGAGCTCCTATTCCCCTTGGTCCTGGCGACTGCAGCTCAGCCAGTCCACCTGTACGTAAAGGGATCCCCAAGATGTACTCTACCCTTACTGAGTTCAGGTTCGTTTCTGCCCACGACATAAATCTTGCTGTTTCTTGCTGTAGCTTGAAACAGTTGATAACCCCCCCATGGTGGGTCTCATGAGCTTTTGCCATTGCGTTGTCTATTTGAACACAGATGTTGAGATGGTGTATCTGATCCCTGAAGAAGCTGAGTGCCAAACTAATGGTCCTTAGTCCCAGGAAGTTGATGCTGTAGAGTGTCTCCGACTGACAGCAGTCTCCCTGTACATGTCCAGTGGAGCAGTGAGCCTCCCATCCTGTCAGGACAGCATCAGTAGACATCTGGATACCCACAGGGACTTGAATGAACTTGTTCTGAAAAAGGTGGACTTCTCTCACCCAGTATGAGAGATCCTGCTTATCACTACTCTGAAATATCGTTTCACTGCTTTTTGCTTTTGGTGAAGAAGTATCCATTGAAGTAATTATGAGTGTGCCCTTGTCCATGGCATGGAGTTGATGGCACAAATCATGAAGCCCTGTATGCGAACAAAAAAATCATGTGACTGGGTACTTTAACTGAACCTACTTGACTGCTTTGTCACAGATACTGCCAGAAATATAGGGGAACAGCTGCTGGACTTGACCAAGAAGATCACAGAGGTGGCACACATAATCAGAAGAAACCTGGCCTCTTGGAGAAGCATGCCAAGAAGGGAGTCTAGAGACCCAGAACAGAATAGCCTTGAAGAGTAGTAAGGAGAAGACAGAATGGGAACAATTATATGGCCTTGTGTAGATTACAAGCCATCTAACCCATTATCAATAGATACAATTTATTCAGACCCAGGTCCAGAAGCATCTGAGAATCACAAGAATGTCCAATTTCACAGAAGTGATGATTCAAGGACGGAAATATTGATTGAGGGCCAAAAGATATTCATACATATGAGAAACTTGATATCATTATTTTTAATTAGGCTTTAAGATAAAAAGTAGCAAAACTGAACGAACACTCCAATAAATCAAATCAAATATGTTCTAAAAATATATTTTAAGTAGGGATGGGAACAAACTGGTTCATGAGGCAAAATTCAACATGAATTTGGCCTGGTTCAAAGCCCCCGAACCAATGTTTGGGGAAAACGCCTTCCCTGAACATTTACCAGACTTTTGCTTGGTTTCGGGCCATTTAAGCCTAACAGTTGTGCAATGTGGGTCCGCAGCTACAAGCCATTTCACTCATTGGTTTCACTTCCCCCTGCTTGGAACCACCCCAAACCGAACCAAAATTTTTGTACCCATCCCTAATTTTAAGTATAGATAACCTTGTATGCTGTTTTAGATTGTAAAATAATGAGCTAACCAAAAAAGTGCACCCTTACCAAGTGAGATAGTTAACTATTTAGGAGATGATTTCAAAATCCTATAAATAGGTGATGTTGAATTGATCAAGAGCTTCTTCTCTGAAGGGGCTCCTTGCCTGTGACCTGTTTACTTTTGGTGTAAGAAACTTTTATGGAATCATGTAATTGCTCTCCTTTAATTATCTATGTAACAGTGATGGATGGTATAATGCTTTGTAGATTTAGTTTATATTAAGAATGCAATAGTCACACTTTAATAAAAGCTTAGAATGGAAATACTCTCCAACATATTTTGAATCTATTGTACTATACCCAGAACAAACCTATAGCATTACTGTGGTGTACCTCTGGCTAGGAGTTAAATGATCTGCTATAGGAAAGCTAACTAGATTCCTAGGATTTCATAAGTGCACACCTATATCTGAAGCAGGCCTGACCAGAATAATCTAGAACAGTTTGCACAATCCTCTGTCCCCTTTCAGGTGGGGGGAAGAGCATGCCTCAGGTGGCCTCTGTGACTACCCCTAGGGGAAGAATGGACTCCAAGGGAGTCTGGTGACTCTTCTGATGTTTGGTGAGGAAGCTGTGCTCCCCTAGGCAGTGGACAGTCAGACTGATGTCTTTGTAGGCATTGGTCTTAGAGGAGAATTGTTCCAGAAGATTGGCCAGGTAGGAGTGAATATTAATTATCTTATGCAGAGACTTTACCAAAGTGACCACAAGTTTGATGAACATGTGAGGAGCTGAAGGGCATAATCCTGAACTGCCAGTGTCAGTTCCCATAACAGAACCTGAGGCACATGTGGGAGGGAAGGAAGGTGACATAGAAGTATACTTCTGTCAAATCCACGGATGCAAGAAAGTCCCCTTGCTGCAGTACTTCACTGATGGTTCTAAGACTCATTTTGAGTTTTCTGTACCACACAAACTTGTTGAGAAGCTTGAGATCCAAGATAGCCCTTCAATCCCTGTTTTTAGTACTGTGAAAAAAACAGAGTAGATGCCTGAGTATCTGTGGAGGCACAAGCTCAATAGCTCCCATCCCTCTCAGATGACTGATTGCATCTGATGCTCACTCTGTCTTGTTTGGATGCTTAAACCAGGGAGATCAGGAACCTGTCTTGCAGGGGATGAAAGAACTCAATGGAATATCTGTGAACAACCATGCTTAGCACCCAATGATCTGACATGGACCATACTTGGGATTGGGTGAAGTTCTGGAGCTAACCTCCCACTGGCAGGTTCCTAGCATCACTTGTTTTGCTAATGCTTGAATGGTTTCTGGGTCCTGAAGACTGACCAGAAAAGTGTTTTTGATTTTGAGGTCTGCAGCTCTGTTTTTATTTCAAGATGATCTTCTAAACTCATTTTTGTGTCCAGGAACAGTATATTTTTGGTCTCCTGTCTTCTTTTTTGCTTGAAAAGGGCATGGCCTTCTTTATTTCTGGAAGAGTAAGATCTGGAGATTCTCTGAGCTGTTTGCACACTCAAAGGACTGATGCTCTGGCCATAAGGGATGTGGCTGTGGAAGCTTTAATTGTCCGAGCCATGGTGTCATGAGATTGGTGCACCCCTGCATCACTCCTGTGTTATCCACCGCTGGAGTTTTTAGCAGTCTAGTAACTTTACGAGGGAAGGAATAAAACCTTTTTGAAAACCCAACAAGAAATCTCTGAAACACTGGAGTGGCCCAGTTTGCCTTGATCTCTGTGGTAAAAAACCTGGGAAATGGAAAAATGGAGCCTAGCTTTATAAAAGAGCCATGGGAGTTCCTCTGAGGAAAGAAGCTATTTGATGTGCTGGGCAGGAAGGGGCTCTTCATCATCAGATAATTCCCCTTTCTCCCAGCTGAGTCATAGTCAGAGTCTGCTGAATAAGTCACAGCCTATTCCTCATGGGATCTGGAGGAGGAGGAGGATGCTTGTCGTGAGGCTGCTTTACCTTTTCATTGCCTCCTTGGTAGACCAAGGTGGCTGGGCCTTCTGTTTTCTGGGAATAATTCTACTCCATTATTCCACTGGGAATTGTCCTGCTGCCAGGAGATGAATGCTGCTGTTTCTTCCTCAGAGGATGCTACGGCATCTAACGAAGCAGGCAAGGAAGCCACTGAGGCCACTGCTGTGAGTGAACAGGAGGCTCAAGAAACAGAAAGTGGAAGTAGTAGAAAAACAGCCCCCCCCTCTCTCTTTTTTTAGAGCAGAGAATAAAAGTAGATAGATCCAATAAAGGTGCACAGAGGAAGAAACAAGCTGTCAAGACAGTGTGTGACTGCAATAAAAAAGGCCAATGCTAGGCTGGGGATTATTAGGAAGGGTATTGAAAACCGATCAGCCAATATCATAATGCCCCTATATAAATCAACGGTGCGACCTCATTTGGAATACTGTGTGCAGTTCCGGTCACCATACCTTAAAAAGGATATTATAGCTTTGGAAAAAGTGCAGAAAAGGGCAACTCGAATGATAAAAGGGTTGGAACACTTTCCCTATGAGGAAAGGTTAAGGCGCTTAGGGCTCTTTAGCTTGGAGAAACGACGACTGAGGGGTGACATGATTGAGGTTTATAAGATTATGCATGGGATAGAGCAGGTAGAGAAAGAGGTACTTTTCTCCCTTTCTCACGATACAAGAACTCATGGGCACTCCATGAAATTGCTGAGTGGTCAAGTTAGAACAGATAAAAGGAAGTATTTCTTCACCCAACGAGTGATTAACACATGGAACTCACTGCCACAGGAGGTGGTGGCGGCTACAAGCATGGACGGCTTCAAGAGGGAATTAGATAAGCCTATGGAGCAGAGGTCCATCGGTGGCCAGGGGTCATTTCCTGCAGAAGTGCACAGGAGCGGAGCTCCAGCAGTAAAGAGCCCAGGGGGCAGGCACATGCAACAAGCCCCACCCCCTGCTCCCAGCAGCCCTCAGTCTGAGCAAGCATCAGCCAGGTAACTTGCAGAGCTCCCCCTTGCCCCCCAGTCCAAAACAGTCCAGTGGCACCTTTAAGACCAAGTTTTATTCAGGTACAAGCTCTCTGTCCTCTGCGAGGACAGATCTGCACGTTCTCCCCCCCCCACACACAATAGCTAGCAATCCAAAACAGTCCAGTGGCGCCTGAGCAGTGGGTGTTGCCTTCTGACACACTTCTGGTGATGTCAGGGGGTGTGGCATATGCAAATAAGTTATGCTAATGAGCTTCTGCACCTCTTTTTCTACTAAATGACCCCTGTCGGTGGCTATTAGCCACAAGGTATAGATAGGGACTCTGGGGCAAGTGATGCTCTGTATTCTTGGTGCTGGGGGGGGGTCAATAGTGGGAGGGCTCCTAGTGTCCTGGCTCCGCTGCTGGATCTCCTGATGGCACCTGGTATTTTTGGCCACTGATGGGCCATTTGCCTGATCCAACATTGGCTTCTCTTATGTTCTTAAGCTAAGAGCTCAACGAAAAAACATGAAACTCTTTCCTTGCCCTCCTCTCAGGAGGAAGCAAGACACAGAATGGAGGATGGTGGGCACTCTCCACTGGAGACAGAAGAGCAGTCTACTTCCTGCCTCCAGGGATTGTGGGTAGGAGAGTACCCAATTGTCAGCGTCATCTTCTCTTCAAGGGAAAATACCACACCAGCCTTTCTGTGGAGGCCTCTTTCATATACACAGAGCAAATGAACTCAATGCACTTTATGCAACTATGAGCATTTAAACACAAGATAAAATTTTGCCTCACCTGAGTTTTTCATGGGAAAGTCTGTCTTCCTTTGCACCGTTGAAGGCAACTCGTTTATTCGCAAAGAAAGCTGCCGTTTAAATGGGGACATCTTCTGGCTAAGTGCAGGGAAGCCTCTGAACGAACCTTGTCTAGCAAGCTGCTCTATAGGAGCATGTCTTCGTGGAATAGCATGTGGGTTATTTGACTCTTTGTCACCAGATGCTGCAACATCAGCAGTAGGAGAGGTAGGGGAACTTGAAGATGGGACTGTATTGCCAGATGCAGCACCTGAGGCAACTGTTTTCACATCCGTTTCAACTATACAGTGGGAGGAAAAGATGTATTTGAAAAAGTGCTATTTGTTAAACAACCTTTCTGAATGAGCAGGTTTATTGTACACTTCAGAGGATAATCTGCATTATTTTAGAAATCATCCACTAACTTTCACTGGTGTAAAATGCTAACTTCTCTGATTTCCTATGGCCATTGCAGTTTTATCATAGTTAATGTACAACCAAAAGCTAGTTCAGTTAATCTGTTGTTGCTGATTGCTTAGTATAAGCACAATTAGTTACACACATGAAGGTGCCTTACAGTAATCAGAGCACGGGTCTATCAAAATCAAGTGTCGTCTATTCTGACTGGTAACAGCTTTTCAGGGTCTCAGGTCTTTTCAGGGTCTTTTACATCACCTGCTACCTGCTTCTTTTAACTGGAGCTGCTGTGGATTAAACCTGGGACCTTCTGCACACTTAGTAGGTGCACTACCATAGTCATGGCCCCTCTCTATGCTTTACAATTGATCTACTATGCAGTTTAAATCCACCTCTGTAGTATCCATGAAGTCTAGCAACTGCTCAAACAACCAAAGCAGGTTTCTATTCTGGCAAACTGATGATCCAAACCTTTTCTGTTAAGAGACATTTGCAAGGACTTCCAGGAGCTCATTATGATCAACAAAAATGGTTTCCTGAGCTATGAAGTCAGAGAGTTTGTTTCCAACTCTGTATGCATACGCTACTCAACTAGCTCTTCTGTTTGGCTAATGCATAAGGCACTGAGCAAATAGAACCAGACTGATCCATAGCGGAAGGGCTGCAGTCCATTTCTCTCTTCAGGTGCACTGTTACTGTTATTGTTAGTCATCAACAAAGCCCTTCAACAATTCTAAGGTGTGCACCATCATTGTCCTTCCATACTGATTGTGACCACATCCATTCTGGAAGTTCACAATCATTAATTTACACTGTGGCACACATCAGCATACTACTAGACTGTGTGAGAAAAGCCACAGAGATGCTGAAACTCAGGCTGCTAAAATTCAGTTGGAAAATGCTCAATTTTGATACGTATTCAAAATCTAATGTGTATCAAAATAAATTATAAACCATGTCTTCCCAACCCTCCCATAAGACAGCTATGTGTTCCACCACAACTGCTGCTTAGCTACACACTAAGAGGTACAAAGAACAACAGCACTGACATGTTGTAAGAAGCATTCTAGATGGTCTGTTGAAAAGATATAGTTAGAGAACAGCTCCAAGTCTTGCCTGTCTGTTCCTCCTCTTAATTTGCATAACCTGCAGGCCAACTACAATTGTCAGTTTTCTAAAGACTCCTTAACTAAATCCATGTCTGTGGCTCATCCTCCTAAAAGTACACAGACACATGTTTAATCATTACTTAAAATGCTCTTGAACTAACATATAGGAGGCAAATGTGTATGAGTTCTACAAGAATAACAATCAAATGTTTTGAAACTCAAGTATGAAAGTACAAATAGGCCCTGCAGTGTACTTAAGAAACAGGAAAGAAACTTTGTGAGATCTCACTTCCTTGACAGTTGCTAGGAAGCAGAGGGGATATTAACACTACTCTTTTTTTAAAAAAAACCATCACCTCACACAGCAACTCTCTCAAGTGCTCGTTTCAGATGAGAATCTTAGCAGTATTTCATATACAAAAGCTCGAAGTGCTCTCTCAAAATAAACTGTAACCCACTGAATATTATTCTTAATCTCACTGAGCTTTTTGACCACTCGTAGCACAATCTCATCTGGTAAGTACTGACTTGTATTCATTACAGTCACTCAAAGCTTTTCACAGTGCAAAGCAAACAGGAAGAGAGTGTTCTATAGCTACAGTGACACAGAGAAACACTTAATCAGTGGAATTCTCTCAGTGTGATGGTATCTGGAAGCAGGGCTCACCACCACCACCATAATATTACATACAAAAAGTTACTAAGGTGACGTAAGTGCTGCATGATCCTAGAGGCATTTTGCAGGGGGAAATAACAGCTTAATAAAGTATCTGATGCACAACAGTGCAGCCCATGTTCCAAATGAATGGAACGGCATTCCATTACCTTTAGTGTCTTGAATCTGTCTCATGACTTCCTCTCTTTCTGCCTGCTCAGTTGCTGTTGTGACTCGGAATGATCCCTCTCTTGTGAATGTGGTTCTGCTGGCATCAAATGTGGCAGTCACTCCACACTCCTTCTCTCTCTTTTGCTTTCGCTCCAAGCAGGCTGCAAATGCACAGCCAACAGCATGACTCAACCTCTCCCCCTGAAAAAAGATAGTGCATCCTTTATACAAAAACAAAAAACAATGACACATCTTGTCTGAACACTGTTAAATGACAGGTGACATTCAACACATAACTCATGCCTTTTCTGTACAACGTAATCATGAAGATTCAGAGAAACTACCACATGTGATCACCAATATACAGTAACTAAAGAGACATATCATTCAGGCAGCATTTACCAAAACACTGAAGATACAAAACTAGTACAGTTTTTAAAAAGTGTTTGGTAAGTAGACTCAAGGTCCTTGTTTGTGTCAAGGAACAGCAGGACTATCATGGTATGCACGACTGTAACATTTCCAATTTCAAATACTTTAGCTTTGCAAATGCTCAGATATTTCTTCATGATAATGCTGCTACATTTCCATTTCATAAGAAACTGAGATTCCTCTATACAAATGACTCCCATATGATCACAATTTGTATATAGTTAATTCTGGCCTGAAACCAAAAAGGGTTTTCTTCTTTAAAAACATTGGGGTAGCTATCCACCTCTTCCCTCTGTGGTCTGAAAAGCAACTTACTGTGTCCTTTACAGCCATAAAACAATGACATATCCAGCGGCGTGTAGTGCCATCTCGACAGATGTAAGAAAATGCCCTGTCAAAATTCCTATCTGGAGCGCAGAAAGAAACCTTCTCTATTGTCTGATCAACTATAAGGTCCTAGAGAAAGAAGACATCAAGAGGACAATTCTTAGAAACAATAGCATTATAGGAACATGGAATGTATTGCAAGAAACAAGAAACTTCCTCCCCCCACAATCACAGGGATCTGAAACATTTTATAATGAAACAGCCGACTAGATCAACATTCAGAGCAAGAGATCGACAAAGAGCCGGTATAAGAAACCTACCTTGTATAACTCAAAATATACAACTTGACATTACTGATAACTGACATGTTCATTAATAATCCATAAGGTTTCTATAGACCAAGTACTAGTTGTTGTGAGACCTTCAGTAGGAAGTGGAAAACACAAAATGTAAGAAATACACAGAGGAGCAACCTGTGTTGTTGTTTTAATACACTGGCATAAACCTACACATTGGTTGCACTTGGATTCCAGAGAGCTGTTCACTTCTATTACTTCCCTTTCTGCAAAGCATCTGTAAAAAGAGACTGAGAGGGGAAAAGATCCTGGAATGATAGTGGATAGCTCAATGGAAGTGTCAACCCAGTGTGCTGCAGCAGTGAAAAAGGCAAACTCTTATGTTAAGGATTATCAGGAAAGGGACTGAGAATAAAATAGTCAATATGGTAATACCCCTGTATAGATTGATAGGGCAGCCTCATTTGGAATACTGTGTACAGTTCTGGTCACCGTATTTCAAAAAGGACATTCCAGAGCTGGAAAAACTACCGAGGAGGGCAACCAAGATGATTAGAGGGGTTGGAGCACCTTGCCTATGAGGAAAGGCTGAAGAGTCTGGGACTTTTCAGTTTAGAAAAGAGATGACTAAGGAGGGGACATGATAGAGGTTTATAAAATTATGCATGGGGTGGAGAGAGTTGACAAAGATAAATTTTTCTCCCTCTCCCAAAATACTAGAACTTGAGGGTATCCAATGAAGCTGATGGGCAGTAGGTCAGGATAGACAAAAGGAAATACTACTTTACCCCAGAGATATATTAAAATGTCGAATTTGCTGCCAGAGGATGTAGTGATGATCACAGGAATAAACAGCTTTAAAGGGGGATTTAGACAGATTCATGAAGTCTATCAGTGGCTACTAGCCATGGTGCCTGAGGGGAACCTCCACATTCAGATGCACTAATCCTCCGAATCCCCAAACCAGGAGGCCACATCAGGGGAAGGCCTCGGCCTCTATGCCCTGTTGTTGACTGTCCAAAGGAACTGGTTGGCCACTGCGTGAGACACAGTGCTAGACTAGATGGAATATTGGTCTGATCCAGCAGAGCTCTTCTCATGTTCTGATGTCCCACCCAAATCTTTGCTACCTACTCTATCCACATACTGGTTATTCTAGCATCTTATTTACTCCTTATCCCTTAAGTTAGAGATTCCATTTTCTGTTTTGAAGAGCCATATTTGATTCTTTACTGATCCGCATCTGGCTGTACAGCCAAACCCTGCTCTATCAGTATTTAACTGCTCACACAAAGCAGATCCATTATCTATCTGTTTTCACAGGCAGTTAAGCCCTCCTCTCAAAAAAGCTATATATGAGTCTGGGTATCTCTTAACACACATGAAAACAGAAGGAAGTACCTATAAATATGAATACTAAAGAAATCTCCCTTCAGAAGTCTATGTGTGTGCATCCTCATGGTTTGTTTATTTTCAAATTTCCTTGGAGATTTAATATTTGGAATCTTGTACTAACATATCCAACCACCAAGGGGCAACACCATATTCTGTTTCCAACTAGAGCAGGCATATTACCACCAAAGATTATACAATTAAGTACTATGTTTAGAATATCAGCACAAAAATCATTTTGTTAGCTCAGTGGTTTTATCAAAACATAACTGAGACCAAAACATCCTGTGCAGTTACACCTGCTCAAAAATGCAGTGCAAATATCTGTTAGCAGCACTAGAAGAGCCCTCTACGAAAATTCAATGCAAGCACATTACAGAAAGGCAAGTCTCCCAATGCAGTAAATCTGCCCTATTAACTTAAGGTTGGTAAGTAATTTGAACAACTGTAGTACATAATTTGAACAGCCATAGTGTGTCTATACTATGACATGTGTTTCCTTGCTTCAGGGAAACAATGCTCTAGGAATAGTATTTGCATTTATATATATGCTTTATTACAGACTATACTAATAACCTTCACAGAAATTCTGCAGGTGTCCTCCTTCCCACCCATATTGGAGATGGCTGTCTGAGAGTGCAGAAGTGTGATTGTCTAGAGCTATTTGGGGAGCTCATAGATGACATGTGAGCAAGGGACTTTCCAGATCTCTGCTGAACAACTCCAGCCTCAGACTGAAGCCTTTCGTGAAGCCTTTGTACAGTGTCTTCCAACTTTGCTATAAACCATTTTCACAGCTATTCTTGAGCATCTGATACCTCATGCTGAGAACCAAGGCGGGAAGGATGCCTTGTACTTTCAGAACACTGTCCAAAATCTGCCACAGGAAGTGGTGGCGGCTACAAGCATGGACGGCTTCAAAAGGGAATTAGATTAGTACAAGGGGCGGGGCCCGCGATACTCGCGGGGGGGAGGCAGAGGAAGCAGCAGGAGGAGGGAAGTGCCCCCATCCCGCTGGTTCCCCCGTCTCCTCCCCCCTTGCCTTTCCTCCCCCTTGCCTTTCCCCCCCGGCTGCTCGCCGTCCCACTCGGCCTCGAAGCGAGGGCCGAGCGGCATGCCGCTCGGCCCTTGCTGCTGGTTCTTCCCCCCGGCCCTCGCTGCTGTTTCCCCCACCCCACCCCGAAGTGAGCGCCGTGCGGCTTGCCGCGCGGCCCTCGCTGCTTGCAGAGCGTTCCCTGCGCATGCGCAGGGGACCCTCTGTCAGTTTCGGGGGGATTTAAGTATCCCCCCGATAGTTTTTGTTAGGTTTAGGATTTTTGTGCACACCTGGGGACCGCCCCACGTGTGCACAGAAATCTCCCTCCCCTCCAGTTGCCCCCGATGTGCGGGAATAAGTATCCGCACACCAGGGGGCAACTTGGCTATTAGATATATAGATATGGAGCAGAGGTCCATCAGTGGCTATTAGCCACAAGGTATAGATAGGGGCTCCGGGGCAAGTGATGCTTTGTCTTCTTGGTGCTTGGGGGGTCATCAGTGGGAGGGCTTCTAATGTCCTGGCCCCACTGGTGGACCTCCTGATGGCACTGGTATTTCTGGCCACTGTGTGACACAGAGTGTTGGACTGGATGGGCCTTTGGCCTGATCCAACATTGGCGTCTCTTATGTTCTTATGTAAAATAGCACCAGAGAAGTGTTATCTCATGCCCCTTTATGTGCCACAAGGTATGATCTATTCAGGTTCTCCTTGTCTCAGCTACAACAGAAGCAGGTTATGGGGTTGTCATTACTTTGCAGTCCTCTTTCAAATAAGATCAAAGAATGGATGTAGTCCACATTCTACTGAAATTACTGGCAAGTTCACCAGCCCTCTCACCCTGACCTGAAGGGTGCCTATGGCAAGGTAGTGTAGTCAGGACAGCAAGACTGGAGGCAAGAACAATTTCTTTCTCGGCCCAGGTGTTTTAAGGCAGGGCAATGCTGTGGAGAGCAGGGAACAGAGAAGACGAGGCCCAAGCCCAGTTCAAGGGCTATAAAAAGGAAGGAAGGGGAAATGGGAGGAGACTAGCTGAAGAAGGTGGATTGCAGCAACGTGGCTCTTCTCTTATGTAGCACAGTGTAACCTTGAGGTGGGTGAAGTTAATCACACCTTCAGGAGCAGGGACTGATGAATAAAAAAAACGACACCAGGTATGATGCAAGAGTGCTTTTCAAGCGGAGGGGGAGGGAGGGGGAGGGGGATGGGAGAGAGAGAGAATGAACACTAATTTAAAATGGTTTGATTATATGATGGAGAGGTATGAAAGGACAAAATGATATACTGGGCCATATACACTGGTATCTCTGATAAGCTGCACTGGGCATTCACATATTTTAAAACTTGTATCTAGAGGAAACAGCAAAGATGACCATTATATCTCAGCATCACAGCATATCACATTTAGTAATATTAGTGATAGGCCCCATTACAGAAACATCTAACCTTGGTTTTCTCATCAACAACTCTGAGTCCGTCTGCTGAAACCCAAAGGACTGCTTTCACTGCCTTCTTTCCACTCTTGTAGGGAAGAAAAGAGAAGGAGTATTATTGTAGCACTGTTAAGTAAGGCTGAATGCAGACTTCCTTTCTCCAGGAAACACAAAAGTCAGTGTGCAGATGATATCCAACTTCAGTAGGAGCACCCAAAGCCAGATATTCAGAACTACAAAATCTCCAGAGAATCAAGCCGAAGTCAGTCTTTCAAGAACACAGTGCAAAAGGAAGGGGGAAAGAACAGAAAAGGATGAATTATGTTAATACATTCATAGAAAAGGCAAAGAATTCAAGCTTAAATTCTTTACCTGTTCAAACACCAAAAAAAAACCCCATCTGTTAACAAGGATGCTTAAGGAGTTACACCACAGGTAGCTTTTGTTGCAACTTTTAGAAATAAACATTCTTAATTCATCTTTTCATCACCCCCAATGTTCCCTTTCAGTACTCATGAGATAGATGCATAGCACTAACCATCAGGCAAGACATTACTTTATATATCTCCTCTTGTTCATACCACAAGGGCCTAGGACACAGGACTTTTGCCCTTACACAAGTAGATACCTAACAACTGGGCATTTACACAGAATTCTGGAAGTGGTGAATGGGGACCAAGAAAGGTAGAATTCTGCCTACTACCAACTCTCTTTTAGCCTTCTAATATCTCCCTGCTCACCCTACTGACACCCTAACCTCCATTCAACTCTTACTTCTCCACTCCCACACATCAGGGGATGGTAATCAGGCTGCTGGGAGGAAAGGAAGTAGGTTGCATGCCCTCCTGGCCAGACCTTCCCCCATTCTTCTGAGCCTGAGAAGAGAGCAGTAGCAGTGCCCAGCTTGTTTTAAAAGAATAACCCCCACAGCAGTCGTTAAACAGTGCTGCACTTACCTGTAACTTGTTAATAGAGTCGTCTTCTGTGCAGTCCTACTTGTTAATTGAGCTGCTTTCTGTGCATTTGGAGTGCATTTGCAGCCGTTTCCCCACTCAAATGGTTAAGTGTTCCAAAAGGGGCTCTCCCCTTTTCCCTCAGTTCTCCTGAGCCGCTGTGAGGTGAACAGACAATTGTACTACTACCAAAGTGAGCTCACAGCAGGGTAAGAGGGAGGGAATGTGCACAGAGACAACTCAATGAAGAACAGTTACTTACAGGGAAGTGCAACACTGTTTTCATCATCAGTCTTCTGTGCATTCCCACATTGGAAGACTACCAAGCTATTCACCCTGAAGTGATGCTCTCACTGGAAAAGAAAGTGCAGGTCCACTTTCCGTCTGACGTCTTCTTTCTTGCATTGACATCCACAGTGTAATGTTCTATGAACGTGTCCTATGACAACCATGCTGCTGCCCTGTCTGCCAGTGATGTACCTCGTGCAAAAGCTGCAGATTCCGCTTGAGAGCTTGTAAAGTGAGCCCTGAGTCATTCAGCAGGCATGGTTGTTTCACCTGATTGTAGTACAACCCGATTACAGCTGTTATCCACCTTGAGAGAGTAAGTGTACTAAGTTCTTCCCTCATACTTGAAATGTAAACATTTACGGTGACATGGTGACATGGATGGATGGCCATGCGAAAATAAGTGTCCTGTAAATCAAGCACTATGAAGCAACAATTTAATCTTAAAAATGCTAACACAGAAGAAAAAGTCAACATTTTAAACTACAAGAAAAAAGTTGAGATCTCTCAAATCCAAGATGGGCCTAAAGTCACTGTCTTTTTTGGGAACAAGAAAAAAAAATCTTGAATGGAAATCCCTACTAGAATCTGATTGGATATAGCTGCTGAACTGCAGGGCCTCTAATTCTGGTCCCGGCTCCAGCATTACATTATCAATTGCCTGAGAGGGAAGCCTTACAGGTGGCAACTCAAAAAATTCTAAACAATATCCAAACTGAATAATAGATAACACTCAGGTGTCTGATGTAATCTGGAGCCACCGGTCAGAAAAATGGGGGAGCCTGTCCAGAAAAGTGAGCCCCTACAAGGTGCCCTGTGCCTCATTTGAGGTTGAGAAGGTGAATGACCTCTGCTGAGGATACCGTGGAGGGCACTGATACTGCTGTGATGGTTGATAGCAACCACAGGTAAGGACACCCGTCCTCTTGCACTATAGCGATATTCAACTCTTTAAGCGGTGGTGGGAATGCTAGCAGGTTTTCCCCAAATAACTGTAGATATTTACAAAACTCCCTCTAACTTGTGGAAGGTGATGGTACCTGGTCAGATGAGAATAAAGTCTGCCTAGGATTTTATCTTTAGGCTTAGGCCCGGAAGAGGTCACTTGAATATCATTTGTTTTACATATAAGTGGAGGTACTCGTTGGGTGAGACAGGGTCAGTTTGCCCACTGTGTCATCTGGTGAAACGTCTGAAGGCAAACCCAAACTCTGTCCTGAATGTGAGGCTGCCTCCTCCTCCTCGTTTCAGAAAAAGTCAGCAGTTGATCCTGTGCAGGTGGAGGCACTGAGGTGCTCCATGTTGAAACAGATGGTCAGGTCTGAGATGTCGAAGTGTGCTTAGGATCAATGTAAGGATACCTGGGATAATCTCCCCACTCTTGAGGAAATGGTGAAGGAAAACAAAAAGTTTCTTCTCTTCAATGGGGTGAGGTAATTCAAACTGGTTAGGTCATGCCTCCTCTTGCTCCAGGCAGGGCTATGCAAATTTTTGTATCACTCTCCTGAGACAGAGTGAGGCTGCCCTTCCAGTAATCAAATAGCCCAGTTATCACCCTTACTAATCCCCCCCTCTTTTGTGGTGGGAAAAAAATGGATGATTTCACCCCACTGATGAGAAGAAACCTTCAGGTAAGTCCAATGTTTCTCTGAAGTCTCCACTTGATAATTTAAGGTAGTCATGACCTTTCTTAGGAGTCTTTGATAATGCTCTGGTTGGAATAGCCTAGAAGAACTGTCCTTAGAGCTAGAGTCCTCCCCAGACCAACCCCTTCCTCCTTGTCAGAGTTAGCTCCCATGAAGTGTTGATGGAATGCACTTCCTCTACTTCAGAACCCCATTCTGATTCTGCTGCATGGAGACGCTTTTTAGAAACAGTTCTACCTGCCCGCCTCAAAGAGTCTCTTGAAAAGGACGAAGATCTGTCCTCTTCATCCTCCTCTAGCCTATGCTGTGGGTGCCTTTTATGTAGCAGCTTTTTGTTTAGCATGTAAATTTTCCTCCAAGTAGGATGAACTGGGCAAGGCTGAAGGAGAATTCCCCCTCCTTTCCTGATGCCTTTTATGTCCTCAGCAGTCAGTCTCCCTTCAGGTATTCACCAAGCCATTTCCTGGACAATTTGCTGCCCCCAATAGCTGAGGTCCCTGCATGCCCCCAGTTGGGAAGTTTGCTTGTGGTCAGCCCATGCACGCTGATCTCCAGGCCTGTAACATCCAGTCTGCCACAACCTGACTAAAAAAGGTCAGTAAAAATGGCACACCGGCCATATTGGGCCTGCTCACTTCAGAATAGCTTGGAATGGCTGAGGGGGCCTGCACAAAGGGAAGGGTTCCCATGAAGGGGCTGCCTCGCCTGGTGTCTGTCCCGGCCATTTCAAGCCCTCACACCACTTGGGAGGGAGTAAGCTGACTTCCAACGGCAGTAGACAGGTTCCGGCAGCCTCCGAGTCAGTGGTGGAGATCAGCGGCTGAGCACTGCACGTGGCTGGCAGCTGTTTGGTTGCTCCTTAAAAGAGCTTGTGTCACCAGCAGCAGAGGGGCTGGAAAGGGCTCCACAATCTTAAGACCTTTCCACCTGTTAAGAGCTGTGGTCACAGTATTTAATGCTCAGATCTGCCTCTCCCCTGGATCTGAAGCCTCGGATAAGGAGGGCTTTTCTTTTGACTGAGCCTTGCAGATCCAGACCCCTGGACCTTTTTAGATTCTCCTTCCTCCATGGATCGATTGGTTTCCACCCGAACAGGGAACTCGGTGAGTCTTTTCCCCCTTATTTCTAAATAACCACAGAAGCGGAGCTAGGCTTAAGCATCCTACTGGAGCTGCAGGGCCATCGAACCTGAAAGGGCAGCCTTGCTCTGTCTTAGGGGAGTCATACAAAAAATTTGCATAGACCTGCCTGGAGCACGAGGAGGCACGACCTAACCAGTTTGGATGACTTTACCCACTGAAGGAGAATAAAAAGAATACTGCTGCCACAGTGAAGGTGGCACAAGTCCATGGAACTGACTGCGGTGGTTCTGACGGCACAGGCTGTTCTAATGTAGCAGGTGGGCAAGATTCCGATCCAATTTCCTCTTCCACTTCCAATAAAGATGGAACCAGGGATGGGGAGTGCAAAGACAGTGTTCTCGGAGGAGCAGTCTGTCCTGTTTGGGTGCCAGAACCTTTAGGAACCATAGCAGTCGAAATCAGGGAGTTAGGTCTCAGAGGGGAAGGCCTCAGAACGGGTGGTGTTTTTCTTGGTGCTTTGTCTTGGGGGGGAGCTTCAGTTGTGCACCATGAGTGGTCAGGAGATTGAGAATGATGCCTAGCCGGAACCAACTGTGGGCCAGACAGAACTGATGAAACTAATGGCGGACCCAATGGCTGGTCAGCACAAGTCGGAGATTTTGTCAGCAACGCTGGAGTATGCTCTGCCAAAGCAGATGTCTTGTTCCGACTCCAAAAGCCTGGCAGATATGCTAAGGCCTTTTCCCACAGATTAGCCTTTAAGCAGCCTGCTCTGTCAAAGTGGGCTTTAGGGGTAAACTGAAAATAAAACAATTGCCAGTGTTATACTCCTCACCCAGACATAACAAACACAAAGAGTGCTCATCTGAGCAGGTTAACTTTGTCTGCATTGGGAACATTTTTCAAACAGTGTCTTCTGCAACATGCTGATGAGAAGGGCTGAGAAAGCAACAAATTCAGTGAACTCCTATGGAAAAGAAGTGAGTAAGTGCAGAGCTAGCTGGGACTTCATCCTCTTCCTGCGATGGTGAAAGATAAACTGAGGGGAAAGGGGAGCACCCCATTCGGAGCACATGACCATTTGAGCAGAAAAACGGCTGCGAATGCACTCCAAAGGGAAGGGGCTCCCCCTGAGTTCTCTAGAGCATTAAAGAAAAGCTGGAAAAATCCTTTGGTGGCGGGTCTGCGTGTGCACAGACGCAATGTGGGACTGCACAGAAGGCCAACGAGCAACATAAAATTATATATAAATTTAAATATAACCTTGCAATTTCTAAAGGCTCATATGATGCACTTGTTTCCTTCCATATTTTGCTATGTGAAAACTAGCTATTATTTCAACATATATAGGTTACTCAAGACTGGAAAGAGTAGCAGATATCTAAAGAATGTCTATTATGAGGGAGAGGTTATATCATTTTCTTATGTAGTGATGCCTTAAAACAAGGGCCCTGTTGTTCTGGGTGAAGTACAAACACAAGTATCTCAAATGCTTGGCAATCTTAGTAATGGCTTTTAAAAAGTGAAACAAGGTAACTCCTTGTTCCATTTGTTTTTGGTATTTTATTACGGTATTGTTTAACAATTCATATATAAACTGCCTTGAAGTGGACAGACGTTCTAAAAACCCTTTAAATAAATCAAAAATACTGTTAAGAATGTAATATTTTCATTACTGAGCAGGAACCATAAGCAGCCTTGAACAGTAAATTACACCATTCAAGCCTTCCATAAGGAGTTTTCACCAGACTGTACACCCCCCTTTAATCTGAGCCCATTAGTAAGAAACAGAAATTATGGGAAACTTTTGAGGGAAGAGGTGACCAGAAAAATCTCCAAGGGTCAGCTAAAGATGAAGCTTCCAAGTGCTGCAGGAATGTGACACGACAGTGCTATACCAGGGATGTAACTCCTTATAGCTCAAACACAAGGAGGCATTAAACTTACTTTTCCAAAGAAGCCTTTGAAGAACTTCCTTTCCTGGAGGAACAGGGGGGACAAGTCGAACGCTATTACTGTAGGTAGCTAAAATGTCCCAGAGATTCAAACCCACACACATATACAAGAAATGGGGATTGGAGATTGGAAGGAGAAGTAGGGAAAGGTTCAGAATTTTTGGGAAAGGATGAGATAAGCAAATGTGAAACAAATACCATGAAATTTTATTAGAATGACAGGCTATAGCTCTGAAATTGGTGGGGAAAAGGAAGGGGGGGGGGATCAGACCCAATTTCATGCAAAATATTTATTTCATTTTGTAGGTCCCCTTAATTTTAGTAAGCTATAAACCAAACTTGGCAGCAGGGATACAGAGCTAGGAATTAACACGTTAAAGAAATTTAACAGCTCAAACAGCATAAAACCAAAATAAAATATTGTGGGGATTTATTTTTTAGTCATCATCAAGAGATTTATGTGCATACAGTCTCACAATTAATTTTCCAAGCCTAACTGTAGTGAAACAGTAGATAAAGCTAATACTTGTTTTGAAATCAGGATCTATTCACTAATTGACAAGGAAACTCTGTAGAATTTAAATGCATTTCCCCCTACATTCTGCTGCATGAAATATGAAAAGGGACATTATATCCATACCCAGGCAGCATAAAATATGTATTTTTATAATATATATGGCAAGAAGCACAGGTTAACAGAAACTGAAAGCACACATCTTGATAACTATTAAATGTGGCAGCTTATATTTTATATATAATTCATTTTAGGGAAAAGAAAGTCAGTGATTTCTGGAAAAGAAAGAGTCCAGGTGTTTTTCTGACAGTCTTCACATAATGCTACTTAAAACTGATCCTGTGACAGCTACCAGCATTAGCAGTTGTCTGCAGTGTTCCCTCTAAGCTGAGTTAGTATGAGCTAGCTCACAGTTTTTTTAGCCTCCGGCTCACACATTTTTGTCTTAGCTCAGGAAGGATGGCTTCAGAGCAAACTAATTTATGCAGTAGCCAAATCACTCGCTCACAACCTAATTGCCAGTAGCTCACAAAGTAGAATTTTTGCTCACAAGACTTCACAGCTTAGAAGGAGCATTTGTTGTATATGCAATGAGTGGCTTGACACATGGATATTTTCCAACGTTCCTCCACACTACCATACACCTTCAACTCAAAGCATTCACAGCAATTTGGAGAAAGTCACTCACAACTTTTTACATAGTTACAGAAGCAATGGTAGACTGCTTAAAACACAGGCATGCCTTGGCTTCCAAAGCTCCCCTTCACTCAGGCAAATTCCATTTAGTAATTATTTCATATGCATGGTCTCCTACTTATCAGACACCTATTATTACCTTTTTTTTTTAGTCTACAGTTTTGGCCACTCCAGGATCAACAGTGGCTTTTACACCTTTTATGCATCATTTCTTTAATCTTTCAGCATGTGGTATAATATTCAAGCATCTCATATCCAAAGTAAGCTACCTTACGGTATATAATCTCTAAAAGAATATGGTGTAGCTAAACGTGTTAGGCTGATAAAATTAAACAGGAATGCAATATTACAGATAAAACTCATATTAATCGTTTCAGGTAGGTAGCCATGTTAACCTGTAGTAGCAGAACAAAATTTGAGTCCCATAGCACCTTGAAGACCAGCAACATTTCCCAGGGTATATGCTTTCCAGGTATCTGACATAGTGACTTTTGACTCACAAAAGCTTATACCTTAGAAAATTTATTAATGTTGGTAGCCATGTTGGTCTGAAGCAATAGAATAAAATTTGAGTCCAGTGGTACCTTTAAGACCAACAACGTTTAATTCTGCTGTCTAATTTGTGTGCATGCATACTTCATCAAAATACATTGAAACAGTTTTCCTTAAGCCTTACATATGGGGGGGGGGGTGTTTGTTGACACTGTAATTCAGCAGTGTCCCGTTCCAGTCTGTTTCTGAAATTCCTTTGCAGTAAAACAGCTACTTTGAGGTCCCCCATTGAGTGCCTTGGGAGGTTGAAATATACATACAAACAAATACCTTTTATTGGCATAAAGGGAGGTTGAAATGTTCTTCTACAGGTTTTTGCAGTTTTCTGATTTCAAGAAATAGATTAACAAAGTCAGAATGGTACCCAGAGAAAGCTTGTTGCAAGACAGGCCCAAAAGAGACAATAACAGAACACCACTAGTAGTCACATACCGCTTTCAACTCAAAATAGTTCAGTGCATCATCAGCGACTTGCAACCTCTACTGGATAATGACAGTTCTTTCACAAGTACTGGGGATAAACCTTTTCTTGCACACAGACAGCCTCCCAATCTCAAACAACTCCTCACGCACAATAATACAGCCTCTACCAGAGCTTACAATAAACTTTGCTGCCATGTACACCAAGACAACACAATCACTAGAACCTAACAACATCAACTACATCACCTCAGGCTTATTCACTAGCTCATCTTCTAACACTGTATATGCCATTAAATGCCAACAATGCCCTTCAGCTGTTTACATAGGTCAAACCCTACACAAAAGGATAAATGGACACAAATCTGACATCAAGAATCACAAAACTGAGAAACCTATACGAGAACATTTCAGCCTCCCAAGGCACTCGATGGGGGGACCTCAAAGTAGCTGTTTTACTGCAAAGAAATTTCAGAAACAGACTGGAATGGGAGACTGCTGAATTACAAGTTATTACAACACTCAGGACAATGAAACCACCCAGGGCTTAACAGAGACATTGGGTTCTTCTCTCACCACACATGCTAAGTAACTCAGTTCTCACTTATACCCAGAACTAAATCTTGTTGGTCTTAAAAGTGCCACTGGACTCAAACTTAGTTCTCACATATGTTTGTTAACTCTTGTACTTGTATGCTAATTTGCTGCCATTCACAAGTCTTACCAACTGCTTTAATCCAATCTAAGTTATGTAAGGTTTAAGGAAAACTGTTTCAATGTATCTGTTGAAGTGTGCATGCACATGAATTAAACACCCAGAATTAAACTTTGTTGGTCTTAAAGGTGCCACTGGACTCAAACGTTAGAAAATTGTTAGTCTTCCAGCTATTACTGGGCACAAATTTTGTTCTTCCTCATATTTATGGTATCTGTGTATCTATAAATGAATTAGAGTTGTTGGAGTCTGTTCTGTCCACATATTCATTATAGAACCCTATTTTATTTGCCAAAGAGCCAATGAATTTCAGGGCTGCATATTAAAAAAAAAAAAAAGCTGGTTGCCACCACTGCCAAGTTAAGCAATAAACATCAAGATAATCAGCCTTCAGATGTGCCAAAGCTAGGAGACTTGTAAGCAGCTACCTTATTTAGGAGACATTTATTAGTTTTACTTTTAGTAGCATGGGTTACAAAGAAAAATTTAGATGCCCCAGAAAACAAATGATAAAGGAGGCATGCAAAATGGATTTTAGGGTAGCTATGGAAGTTAATATTCAGAAATAACACTAAGATAGTTTTAAACACAATTTATGTTTCTTTTACCTGCTAAAACAAGAACACACATTAACAAATGTATCATATTTGTAAACAAAAAATATGACACGTTAAGACACTGAAGACAATTTTTAACCAAATTAGAAAGGATGGAGACAACAAAAAAGACTGGCAGCTTCCAACATAGTTTCCCAATGGGCAAGTACATGGCTGTTATTAATCAAAGAGGAAAACTGTGTTTTAGAGGCTCTTAAACATGCACACTAAAACAAGAACTTCAAATGTTATGAATTCTAATTTTAAATATAGTTGGGTGTTACGTACTTAAGATTACAGCCATACCATGATATTTCTCATTGCCCAGGTAGGATTTTCAGTATTCGAGCCACATAAGCAAATTTCACCAAGCACATACTAACTCAGACAACTGGCAACACTTTACAGCAGAATTTGATAGTTTGACTTTAGTGCCCTACAGATTTAGTTCTCAGGCAAGGTGTTTGGTCTTACCACGCAACACCTGTGTATTTATTTTGCTACAGCTATACCCTGCTATCTGATCAAGTCAGAAACTGAGAATCCTCTGTTCCATACACAACCTCTCTCCTATAGCTTAAGAGCTTCCTTATTCATATTGAATAACACAAGATATTCCATTATTATCTCTCTGAATTAACCCAATATTGTCATTTACCCTTGAAACACCAGAATGTTCCTTATTCAAATAATGCTGAATATGCCCCACATACTCTGTACTAAAGGTAAAGGTTTCCCTTGCTCGAAAGCCAGTAGAATCTGACTCTAGGGAGCAGTGCTATCTCCGTTCCCAAGCCGAAGAGCCAGAACCGTCCGAAGACATTTCTGTGGTCATGTGGCCAGCATGACTAAACACCAAGGCACACAGAATGCTGTTACCTTCCCACCGAAGCGGTACCTATTTATCTACTTGCAATTTCTTGCTTTCGAACTGCTAGGTTGGCAGGACCTGGGGCCAGAGATGGGAGCTCACTCTATCACACAGCACTTGGGTCTCAAACTGTTGAAGTACAAACCTTCTGGTCTGCAGCTCAGCATCTTACCCCTGAGCCACCGCCAGGGTTTAATCAGTTAGCGTAAATATGAACAGCACAGTTGGGAGAATGTTACTTCAAGCATGTCTGCTTTGCCTTCTTCCCTCAATGCTAGTTGATTAATGCTTTGCGGCTGTTCTAAAATGCCAATTTATTCTGTTCAAAGTACAGACACAAGTAAGGCTGCTGAAACTGCCATATTCAGGCAGTACATGGCAATAAAAATATCATAAAACTCAACTGTTCCCACCCAACTCCTCCTAGAGTAAATTTGAAAATAAGTGTATTCTATTTGAAAGGAGAAGGCTGAACATACATTAAAATGAAAACAAAATAATTATTTTATATCTTGTGGGGGAAAGTGCCTCACATTTTTGGTGCAATTAATCAAATATGAAACACCAAGCAGGCCCCAGTGAAAACCCTCAACAGCAGCCAGAAAAAGGCACAAGAAAACACATTTCTGCAGTAGAACAGTGAGGGAATCTTGCCATTTAAACAGTTTACCATATACAAGTCAGTCTGTTTTGACAACATCAGGCTGTTACAAAAAGTCCCACACCTAAATAGATTTATCTAGAATGTTGTCCTTGAATTACTTCAACACTGTTTTCAGAAAACCTCTGAGCAAAACCTATTCCACTGCTTGGGAAGAGACACGGTTGTCCTGTAAAAATGAAAGTCCAGGTTGTAGAAATGGACCTCAAGTATTGTTATTAGACTAAGCAAGAAAGAAGCCACACTGATATGGAGCAAAACACAGAAGGTGAAAAAGGTTCATGAAAACCTGAATCCCTAAACAAGAATGCTCATACTTTTGTAAAAACAGCAGCTCAATGTGCCATTTAAAAAATACAGAAGGACCAGCCCTATATGTCAATACCAATAAACCTTTTGGCTCAGTTTTATTGACACATGATGGAAGGGAAATAGTTACATTTTAAAAAAGCAGTACAGAAGGCAGCAGAAGTGCATGAGCACTCTTTGAACTTCAGAGTAAGATTTCAAAAAAACCCTTTCCTTTGTTTAGCAGAAAAGGCACTAAGAATGGGCTTATCCTGAATGTCACAGAAAAATGTTTCTAGTTCAGCCATGGCAGAACAGGCAGGTTCAGGTGAATGTGACTTCAGAATTATTTTCATTTTCTGTGGGAAATGCAGCATCCAGTCATTTACTTAAATTAGGAATCTGAATAGGGAACCAAAATGTATCTATTCTTATTTGGATTCTAGAACTATGCTATACTAAAGTGTACTAAATGCTCATTTTATATTCAATTCCCCTACAAAGCCACAAGTGCACTGCTTAAAACTGGAAAAATCTTAACATTATGACAATATTAAAAATAAGTATACGTACAGCTTTCAGTCTCTTCACAGCATCTTCACATATATGCATTCCCCTCGACTCATCCACTTCCACATGTCCCAGATACTAATGGAAACAGCAAAGGAAAAAACAGATTAAAAGTATTCAACTAGACCAGCTTCTCTGAAAACACACAGCTCTCCTTAAATTGATTAACTACTTCAGTACTTTTATTTATCCAGTAGATGAAGAGAACAGCAATAAAAGGCTGGAGGGCCTCTTTAAAGAATTACCAAAGATTTCTACATACACAGAACTGCCGTTATTATAAAGATTACCCATGAATACATTAAAAACACATGGAACAAATGTATGGGATGGATCCAGACTTGAGTTTTTCAGTGCCAGAATGGAACTTTCTTGTCTCCCTCCTCATATAGTGGCTCACTGATCTCCATGAAATGCTACTCCTGGTGGATAAGGAGCCCTGAGGAATGACATCAGGATGGTTTGCCGCAGGAAGGGAGAAACCTATAGAAATTGCCACTTTAGTCTAGATCCAACTCTATATGTTACAGCAAGAGTAATACATTTGACATCCAGTGTTCCCTCTAAGCTGAGTTAGTGTGAGCTGGCTCACAGCTTTTTAGCCTCCAGCTCACATCACAGGAAGGATGGCTCCAGAGCAAACTAATTCATGCAGTAGCCATATTGCTCGCTCACAATTTTAATGCCAGTAGTTCACAAAGCAGATTTTTTGTTCACAAGACTCCACAGCTTAGAGGGGAGCATTGTTGACATCCACATGAAAACAGAACATTTAGTTACTGAATTAATACAAAAAAAGATGCCCTTTTAATTTTCAATATCACATGGAAGTTTGAAATAATGATATCCATTTATACTGTAGCAGTAACCGCTCTGACTAGCCTGATCTCATCACAGCCTGGAAGCTAAACAGGGTGGGGCAACGATTACTACTTGGATGAGACACCGCCAAAGACGACTAGGGTTGCGATGCTGAGAAAGGCAATGACAAACTACTTCTGCTCATTGCTTGCCTTGAAAGCCCCATGGTCCTGGAGTCACCATGAATGAGTTGCAACTTGATGGCACACTATTATAATTATGTATACTATAATGGAATGTTATACTGAATTCTAACAGGAGAAAAGCTAAGAGAAAAAGAAACAGGTAGTAAGGAATGAATGACTATAGACTGAGTTTAGATGTCACACATTGACAGGTTAATCTGAATGCAGTCATGATTTCCCAAACTTTGGTCATCCAGTCCTTGTATTAGAAGGGTAGAAGGGAGACGGTGGTGGCATGAAGTTCCAGAGTATGGTTGCACAGTATATGATTCAGATGCTTCGTTGAAGCTATGCAGATTCTGGTCAGTGCTCGAATGGGAGACCTCAGGAATTTTATGTCAAGCCACTCAAGATTGTGTGATGAAAGAAAGGTGGAACAGAAATGCAAGAGGTTTCCACTATGCTGCCCATGTAATTTTGGCTGCACAACACACCACCTAGAACAGACTGGATGATCTTGTTCAGTGAAATGAAAAAGAACTCATTTGGGAATCTTTTTCAATAGAAATGTTGTTCTGGGCGGGAAATTGAGGACTATTTGTTCATCTCTTTCCCAGCACTTTGGGTTATATTGCTTGTCCATTTCATGAAAGTAGTATGCCATTAGCTCACTAGTGTGTATTGTTTCTGTAATGGATCCTGCATGCTTAAAACCAAGGTTTGTGTAAGGGCAAGAGCCAAAGGGCTTTTGGCTGTTATCTTGGGGCTCAGTAACTACGGCTATAACTGGGAGCAAGACCTGCCAGCAGGCTGAGAGAGATGTATTGCGCAATCTACAAGCCACAAAGAACGGTGGTATATGCTATGGCACACCCTACGAAAAACATCTACTTTGGCTCATTTCTTTTTTAGCCTGCAGAATACTTTTTATGGTGACTTCTGGGGGCTGGCAGGATCGGCACTGCGTTTTTATTAGTGTTACTGACACCAGCTTGTGATTGGTGCAGTATGTTGGGAAAGGCTATTCCATTGCAGCTGAGAGATGTGGTTGTGTGTGGGAGAAGAATTGCCAGACAGGACCAGTGCAATTTATCAGTGATCACTGTCACCTTAGTCCCATCCAGTGTTCCCTCTAAGCTGAGTCAGTGTGAGCTAGCTCACAGTTTTCTGGTCTCCAGCTCATGCATTTTTGTCTTAGCTCAGGAAGGATGGCTCCTGAGCAAACTAATTTACACAGTAGCCAAATCACTCACTCACAACTTTAATGCCAGTAGCTCACAAGAATTTTTGTTCACAAGATTGCACAGCTTAGGTGGAGCATTCACAAGATATTCCTATAGAAGTACCCTTATTTCCTCATTTTTTCTCTTTATGTTGTACAATGCTGTATTGGTAAGGGGTAAGACTTCACTCCTGTCTAGGTACCTGGAAGAGAATAACATTGATCTAGTTTGCAAGACTGAGTCCTGGCTGGAAGAAAATGATGGGCTGCATCTGGCGTCTTCCAGAAAGCCTTACTGCTCCAGTTTCATCTCCCTTAGATACCATTTTTAATAATATCCTCACAGCTTCACTGCATATCCCTTGTTGTCCCAGATTTTTTCATTTTTTCTCCAATCTTTTTCTGAAACTTCTTGATTGCATTTCTTTGCCTGCCTGTAATGCTTCTCCCATTTCTCATGGCTCTGCCCACCCCCACCATTTTGTTGTGTGCAGTGGGTGCTTCATTTTTTTTTTTAAAAAAAACTGCATGTGAGCAATATATCAACACTCAGGGAACCAGGAATGACCAATCAGAACATCTGCCAACACTGTTCAGAAAAACAGTGCATAGTGTAAGGGTACTTTGAAGAATCTCAGCTCTACACTTCCAAATCAACACCACTCTAGTCTTAAAGGAAGGCAGGACACACTCACAGAGTGAAGGTCCACATAAAAGCCAGCAGTGTGGAACGGCTGTCCTGAACATCTGCAGTGCCACAGAGGCAAGGGAGACACTGATCAACACTGCTGACTGGAAGATGCCTCAGACTGCATTCTGGTTATGTGGTCCACCATCAACCCTAAACTGGAGACCAGGAGGGGGAGTGGTTATCAATTTCCACAAATCTTTGTTTTCACAGGTGCCCAATGCAAACTATGGCTAGCTTTGATTCTGTATTCCTTGAATGGGGAACCAGGGATAAATTCACCAATTCCCTTTCCTTAATACAGTCTCCAGCCCACATGCCTTTGCTCATGCAAATCCTATGAACATTTATTAACTTCATTTATAACCCACATTTCTCACAGAGACTTAAAGAAGATTTAAGAAATTCAAAGAATGAAGAATGCTAACAAACAAAACAATGACGTACGGTGAGGATTACATATAACTGGAAATAATGCAAGCAAAACCTGCCTATGGCATACTCTTTTTGATGGCCAAAGGTGACCCCATCTCCACTTTCACCAGCAGAAAAGCTAGCTCGATCCAATTTCATGTATTCTGCTGGTTTACCGGTCACCTTGTTATCCCACAGATGCCTACTTTTAGGTGAGGCTTTGGTGCTGGAGAACCCATAACTGATTTTTCTAAAGGACTTCATCATTCACGTCAAGGGCCATGCCTGGGCCACGTCAGGATTTTGGGGCTTCCCTAGCCACCACAGGTCTCTCTAGGGTTGCCAACCTCCAGGTGGGGCCTGGGGATCTCCCGCTTTTACAACTGATCCCCAGCCGACAGAGATCAAGCTCCCCCGGAGAAAATGGATGCTTTGAAGGGTGGACTCTATGGCATTGTATTATGTTGAGGCCCCTCTCCTCCCCAAACCACGCCCCTCTCCTGGCTCCACCCCCAAAGTCTCCAGGTATTTTCCAACCCAGACTTGGCAACCCTAGGTCTCTCCCACATTGCAACAGGCCCAACTCATGAACAACACACTCTGGACTTTATTTTCTGAGCCTTTGGGTGTGATCACGTTTGAGATTGGCGGTCCAACTCCTTAGGCATAGGCAAATGTGGCACTGACCCTCAGCATGAGTGGGAGGGGGTGTAAAATATTCTACACTTGGGAGACTTGTTGATTCTACCAGACTAGAGATTAGGACCACAAATGACAGCTTTGTTGAAGCTGTGGTGGGAGCTTAAGAGTGTGACGTTCCTGGAAGCTGTTTATTTTCTGTTTACAAAATTTGTAACCCTCCTTTCTGCCCTTACAAGGGCCCCTAAGACAGTATTTATTTATTGACAAGGTTGCCCCCTCCAACATCCCATCCCTTCTTGCCCTCAAGGCAGATACCAGCACCATGTATAGTTCCTTACAGACTGGACTCAGAGGGCTTCCGTCAGAGATCAGTAGTTAGCAATGTGGGACCCATCTTGTGTTGTTCTACAAAGCTGTGCTGTTCAATCTCTGTGTAAAATCCCTGTGAGAGATCACTTGCAGTTTTGGAACTGAGTGGCATCAATATGCCACTGACACCAAGCTCTGTGTTTCTTTGTCTAGGCTTTCTGATGCTGCTGTAGCTGTTCTGAGCCAGTGCCTGGCCTAAGGCTGAACAAGCAGAAACTGAATCCCTCTTCTCTCTGGTTATTACCTACAGATGCTCCACTGAGGTAGCATCACTCATCTAAGCAAAGTCTTTTGAAGGGGCCACCCTGAAAAAAGTTAAGAAAACAAGCTGCCCATACCCAAGCATTCCCTGCTGGGGCTCTGATCTGGTGGAATGGCCTGACTGATGAGGTCAGAAAGGCACCCACACTATTGTTTCACAGAATGTGTAGCTGCAACGGTTCAGGTAGGCATTTTTATAAAGGAAACAGGGCTACAGTTTGCAGTGTCTGAAAATTTTAGGCAGTTCCCCACTCTATATTCCAGTGTTCAATGGATGCACTTGTCGCCTTTAGTTGTTCCCTTATGGTATAATCAAGTATATTATGTAATAGCTGTATCTGGTATCCAACTGTGCAGTCCAGTTTCATTACACCGTTTACAGCAGGGGTGTCGAACTCATTTGTTATGAGGGCCGGATCTGACATAAATGAGACCTTGTTGGGCCGGGCCATGTGTGTCTATAAAATGTAATGCCAGGTAGCGGAGATATAAACTT